GCTGTTCCAGCTGCACATGGTGCTGTTGATGAGCCACGCCCTAATCGACCCGGCCATCTACGCCTTCCGCAGCCCCGAGCTCAGACAAACCTTCAGGAAGATGCTGCTTTGTTCAAATTGGAAACAGTGCTCATAGAGGAAGCCTGTTCATGTGTTATTGTATCCACGGAAAGCACGCAGTGGCTCATTACCTGCAGAATGTTTCACCTTCACTGGATTGCATATATTTACACCCGGGGGTCAACAATACATAGACTTCTGCTGCTGATGAGCAGCTGTGGTTGCTCAAGGGCATCATCAGAGAACAGTTCAGTTTCTTCCTTCACTTTTCCCTGCATGGGATTTGACACAGACATCAAAGCTACTGCCACCAGTACATTTGGTTCCTTAGTGTTTGACTGAGCACGTGTGACTGCTCTGAATGCACCTCTGCAAAAGCGAGTGTTTGTATGTATGTTTTTGTCATTAGATAACTGCCATCTGTCCATCCTCTCCCTGGCTTGCTGGCTGTCTAATCATCCGTCCCTGTCAGTCTCTTCAAATCCCCTTTAGAATAACTCATGTGCAATGCATTTGCACGAGACGCATGTTTTCCAGAACCCATTTTACTCAAAGAACATGTTATTATTTTCTTTGTACCTCAGCTCCTGATAGGAACAACGATATGAAAACAGCTCTCCATTTTACCTTTTGCTTTTATTCAGACATATGTACAGTAAATAAAATACCTCATTTTTAAGCAACATGGCCAACACTGACATCGATCTTATTTCATTTTAACTGTAACTCACATTAACATTTCTGCATGCCAACACTTTACTATTAACTAACATGAAATATGTCCCCACAGCTGTTGTCTGAGCATGCAATCAGTAATCAGCATGTGGGTTTCACGCCTGTCCAGCGTCACATCATCATTTCAGTGGTTTTGCTGCTGTTTCTGTGGGAACAAGAACTGAGTGCTTCCCCATCAACAGTAACAAGGAAGTGATGTGTCATTTTACAGGTGAATGAACATGGAGCTGTCATTCTTCAAACCCACAGGGACAGGAAAAATATATGTGGATATATCATTGGGTTTTAATAAAATGTATACATTTGTGTGCGTATTCATACGCTCTTCTTTTGATCTCACAGTAAGGCAGTTACAATACAAAACAGAAACAAATGTCCTTTCAATACTATTTCTTCATCTTTTCATCTTGTCAATATGCATAAAATGCTATGGATCTGTCTGAAGATACAAGTAATACAAATAGCCTGTTTTTATTTGTAATAAATATTAATATGTAACACTGCAAAACAAATATTTAATATTCACCATGCAGCAATTACATTTTGTTCGAAAAGCAGTTCCTGCTGATGGTTGATTTTTGTGATGAAGTTCTGTCGAGCTTCTCAGTCGGGAGGTAGGGCACCACCAACACACACTTACAGACAGCACTGTGAAGCTATTTCTACATTCAGTTTTTACATTTTAAGTGTAAACTTACGGCGTGTTTACTGTCTTTAGTTTAATACATAGTATTAAACTATGACGGAGTCTGAAGGCCAAACTGAGAAAAAAATGTAATTTTAATTTTGAGAATAAAATCATAAAGTCATAATATTATGAGAATAAAGTGGTATTTTAAGGTCACATGTTTTAGAGGAAATATCAGAAGAGCAGCAGCGTTAACCTGCTTTAAGATGAGGAATGTGGAGCATCCTGTGAAGGTCTACTTTAGCAGAGGTTTCACGAATAAGTAGATACTTCATCTTTTGGCTCATCATCATCATCATCATCATCATCATCATCATCATCATCATCATCATCATCATCATTGAAGAAACGGAGTCTCTTCTATTGTTAGACAGACAAACAGCAGCTGCCAGAAGCAGCTCAGCCTGCCACTGACTGTCCTTTCGCCTGGTTGATTGGTTGATGTAATATTCCTAAAAATGTTTTTAAATTTTTTTTCTCTCAAATTCTTAATTCTTGTAACATTAGGACTTTATTTTTGTAATGTTATGACTTTTTTATTGGAATATTATGACTTGTAATTTCAGATTTCTTTTTTTCCCCTCAATGTGGCCCTAATACACCGTCGCATTAAACATCGTCAGGCTATCCAAAAGTTCAGTAGCAGCCAACCTTTCCACACTTACAAATAACAAACAAGGTAACATACTTTTATGTCTAAGGCCATGAACAAATAATGTGTGACTTGTTTCTCAGCTTGTTGGAGGTGTAAACATTCAATCCACCAAAGGGACAGTCAGTTTGATCATCAGCGCTTCGGCTTAATTCAAATAAACTTTTTCTCACAGTGCTGGTGTCCATCTGAGCCTAATGTTGTTCTAATTGACGTACATGCAGAATACATTGTGTGTACTTGGAGTTAAACGGAGCAGATCAGGACTGACACCAAAATATCTTCCTCCTAAATGTAAGATTTTGCAAATTAACACATTTCTAAATGTGACTTTAATGTAAATGTAGTGTATACTGTCGCAGAGTAACCCTCTAAAGACCTGATCATACTCCAAAATAAACGTGGTCAGCTGTGGACTTGGATGTGGACAGTGCACATGCATGTGCTCCACAGAAACCGTGAATTGGCGTTAACATTTTTCGACTCATGATGGACAATTACTAAAAAAAGGATCAAAATCAATGCAGCAGAAACAGAAGTGTTGTCTTTTTTATTGCGCACATTCTTCTTCATTGTCAAAACGTGGTGCCTATATTACCCACAACACCACCGGGCTGCTGAAAATACAATCAATGATTGGGGGGGGGGGGGGGGGGGGGGGGGGGCCGTTGGAAAAGGGCATCCCACCAGATTTTTTTTTTTTTTTTTTAAACCCAACTGTATTTTAGACAAACTGTTCTGACCTTTTGTTTGAATTAATCGCAACTTACTTAGTTTAACTCATTGTTTTGTTGACTTCTAAGTCACATGGTTAGCCTGTGTAAAGGTCAGTGTGTTTAGTTAGCACGTGTTGTTCTGTCATGGCTGACAGGGTGGCGACTGTCCCCATACTAAGCAGCCAAATCAAAACAGTACCATCAAAGTATTTGTCAACATTTTAGTTCTAAATAGGCAAAATATGCAGCTGAATTTGTCCCAATAATTACAATAAAAATATAATTAAATAACAATAATTGTTCATTTTAACGTATAAGAGAATACAAACAATTTTGGGAATTATTTCATTAGCCTCTCATGGTTTTATAATATATTTGCTTGTTCTGTTTATCAAAAGCAATTACATAAATAAATTGTGCATATTTTGACTCAAGTTGTAGTTCTATGGCTAAAAACAAAACTCAATAACTGTTCTTTGATAAATATGATTAAATAAATATATAAATGATGTTGTAATATTATCATATAAATAAATAATTTCATAATATTATTGTAAACAATACATATTTTCAGAATAATATGCCTATTGAGAAAAAAAGCAAAAGTTAATCAGTGAAATTTAATGTTTTTTTAACATGTTGCAACTGTCCCTGATCTGTGTTGCAACAGCCCCCAAGGTTGGGGTCAGGTGCAACATCTGAATTCTTCCATTCAAATTAATATTGTGAATGATTTGAATGTCATATGTAATCATCTTTTAATGGTATGGGTTATTAGCAGACAGATGTAAGTAAGTTTAATATGTAAACGTTTGGTTGGTCTAGTCCCCTCTCTCACCTAATATGTTAATGATAGTAGCAGCTAATGTAGCATCAAGCAGAGATGAAGTTCACGTCTTTCTAATGCCACACCCCCAGATTTTTTTCATTTTTAAACTTGTAGTCCTCAGACCCCGACTGATGCTGACTCAAGGGACATCACCTGAGGACATTTATCAGACATTTATCAGACTTTAGGCTGTTAACTTTTAGGCTTTATACTTTTTTCACATATGCAACTACAGACTTTGTAAAAGCAGCCAAAGCAACAGGTATCATATAAACATGGGTAAATGCACACAAGATCTATTAGGTTCTCTTCAAAACTTTACCCAGGTGTTGTTGACTTCACTGCCTACACCAGTCGTGCACAACCAACACTGAGTAGCCATCATGCGCACACCAATGCATAGTTAAAAGAAAATATATAAGTGCTCCTACACAACAGCGTCAAGGTTTTCTATTATTATTAGTATTATTAGTGAAAAAGAAAAAACCTTTATATGTACTGTGACAGTATGCACAGTACATATACAGATGGGTGAAAAAATAAAGGAAAAACCAACATAAAGCATCTTAGTGAGATGTTGGGCCACCAGACCAGCTTCAGTGCTCCTTGGCGTTGATTCTACACGTCTCCGGTTCTTCCTAAAGATATTCCCTCATTTGATGTTTTGATGATGGTGGTGGAGAACGCTGTCTAACACGCCGGCTCAAAATCTCCCATAGGTGTTCAACTGGGTTGAGATCAGGGGCCGGTTTCACAAAGACAGACCTTGACTGTGTCTTAGATATGACAAATAGTCAGACTTCAGTCTAAATTCATCTGTTGCACAAAGCAGTTTAGTTCTTGACTATCTTAAGCCGGGCTGTGTTACAATGAATTCTGGGTAAATTAAGACTTTTTTCAATTTAAAAAAAAGGGCCGACTGAGGAACTCCAACCAGCAGCTGAGCTCCATTTACCCTCAGCAGAAAATGTTTGTCTTTAGGAAGAATTCAATTCAATTCAATGTTAGCCAACCACACATTATGAGCCATGTTTTATTGTTTCTTCTTGTTGGGTGCTACTGGTCAGTGCAGGTGTCTTTGATTGTTACCATGGTAACATTGGTCTTAGGCCTGAGTTAGTCCGGGGGTAAGGTGTCTAATGTGTTTGGCTTAAAATGAGTCTGTCTTTGTTTTTGTGAAACAGTCTGACTAACATTGATCCATGAGCAACATTAAGACTGGACCAACACTACACACCAGTCTGAAATATCTTTGTGAAACCATATTACATAATTATAATATATTTACATTTTCATACTCATCAACCAGTGACAACTTGTGACCCCACTGTCATCCTGCTTCTCCACTCATTTTTCAGGCATTTCCTTTGTCTCCTGTCTGTATGTGAAAAAAAAAAAAAAACCCCGTCAAAAAAAGTGATAACTATTCACTGGTTCCTCTCAGTCTGTGTCTCTTAGTACTTACCTGTCAGGTCGCAGATGCTGGTGCAGGCGTTTCTCAGGCTGCAGCAGCAGCAGATGATCTCCTTAAAAGTCTTCCTCATCTCCTGACTCCTGAAGGCGTAGATGAGCGGGTCAATCACAGAGTTGCACATGATGAGGATGAGGTACATGTTGAAGTGGGACATGAAGCACACGCAGTAGAGGTTGCGCGGACAGGAGATCATTAGGATCAGGTGCAGGAAGAAGGGAGCCCAGCAGACGATGAAGATCCCCAACAGGATGGTCAGCGTGATGGCGCCCTTCATGCTGGCCCGCTGATGAATGGAGTTGTAGCCGGGCAGGGCTGCGATGCGCTTGACGTGTGAGCGGGCCAGCATGAACATGTGGCTGTAGAGGGAGGCCATGATGAGCAGCATGGCGAAGAACATAGAGACCAGGCAGATGATGACGGGGGTGGTGTCTGAGTACACGATGAAGACGATACCACAGCCCGTGCAGAAGGTCCAGATTCCCCCGATGATGCAGCCAGCTCTCCTCACTGTCATGATGTTGTGGTATCTCAGCGCATAGAAGATAGTGACATACCTGTAGATATTAACATATAATCATTTTCTTAAGTAACCTATGATTTTCTACAAACCTTTGGCCAATCGCAGCTGATGTCGGGCATCGCAGGGCTGAAATGTAGAGACAAACAACCATTCATGCTCACATTCATACCCATGGACAATTCTGTACAATTTCACAGAAACAATGTTCTGAGGTGCAGCATATAGTTAGTATCAACTCATGCACATTTTAAAGAGGTGCTCGGGTAATTTAGTATTGCAGTTCTACCAAATTGGGAGACTTGAGGGACAAAATTAAACAGAAACTAAAATTACCATCGCACAGTTGTATGCCTCCGCCAACCAGCCAAGATTCACAGGGAAGTTGACCTTTGACCATCTGGATATGAAATGTCATCACTTCATTCTATCCTGATATTGTGTCATAATTAGTCCATGAATTTGTGAGTTATGGCCAAAAACTTCTTGTGACCTGTGAGGTCATAGTGACCTTGACCTTTAACCTTTGACCTTTGACCACCAAAGTCTAATCAGTTCATTGTTCAAGTAAGCCAAAAAGGTGCTCACTGTGACCTTGACCTTTGACCTCTGACCTCCAAAATCTAATCAGTTCATCCTTGAGTGTAAATTAATATTTAGGCCAAATTTAAAGAAGTTCCTTCAAAGGTTGTATCAGAGGAAAGTTCAGTCTGGGGGTCAGCGATCAGAGCAGTACTGCAGTTAGAGGGAGTCCCCACCTTGTGCGACATCACAGCAGAAACACAATACTTAACTGTGACTGTTGTAGCAGCAGTGGCCAAGAAGACATCCAGAAGCTTAGTCCCTAGTATGGCTAAAAAAAAAAACACTGGATACTACATTTCCCATAATGCAACTTCATAGTAATTTTCATTAGACCTTCACTGCCTGGTAAACACTCACACCAGTTTCTGGCTGGTTCCTGTTAAAATTTTGAAGTCTCAAGGTGAAGCTAAAGATGACTCTGATGACATCATCAGGGTACCCTTTAAGAAAGAAACAGGACATTATATGGTAGTTATAGTGTGGTATAAACGTTCTTGATTACAATTAAATCTTAATGATTTACAGAGATCCATTTAAACCCAGATAAAGATCCATCTATTTGTTTGTACTTGCTGAATTGTATGACTGCCAAAAATTTGAAATCACACAAAAAGACAAGTTGTACATTTTTGCATGTTCAGCTGAAAGTCCATGCACTGACGACAAAGGCAGATGGGATTAAGGAACATTATGCCACAGTAGTCATGTATTGGAATCAACTGAAAGAGAACCTGTCTCCATCATCCTGGTAATTAGCACAAAGTTACACCTTCGTCTCCAGGACCCTCCCAAAAAGATATTATTACATGTCAGTTCTTTTCTAGGAAATTATTGGGAACTGTGGGACCTGAAGTTATTATACTTAAGTTAGCTAATTACATTTCTCAACCTTTATTTTTTACACAAACCTATCTTTTTGTTGTTGCCATTGTTTTCATATAACATTAACATTAGCCGATCTAAATGGGCGACCTTTCACGACAAAACAGAGCAGTGCAATTATGCACAGTGACTCGTGCGAGTGCATCTTATTAAAAATTCAATTTCATTTAAAAGCTTTGAGGCTTCTCCTGCAGAAATAAGAAGAACGAAGTACAAGAACGTGTGTGCGTGTGTGTACTGTAGCGACCTGGAGTTTATTCCAAGATGACGATAGAAGCGCTTGTATATATCCATACACACCTCCCTCCATCATTACCTGTCCACAGCAATGGCCAGTAGGCTGCACATCGACGCAACAACAGAGATGCAGATCATGGAGTCAAACACGTTGTCCATCTGCCGGATGAAGTGCTCCTCCACCACCAGCTGTCTGTTGTTAAGAAGGTAAATGATGATGGTCTCCCAGGCGTTGGACACACTCACCAGCATGTCTGCCACTGCCAGACTGCAACCACCAGACAAGTCATGTCAGCGTTTTGATCACAGAGATAGATGTTCAGATGTTCCCAGATAGCAAGGTGACACTGATTCAGTGTTACATCAGAATCATCATTGGGAAGGGTTGTTCCAAACATTTTGCTCTTGAACAAACCAAAAACATATTTTATGTCCATCCTGATCTATTTTTCATGATTGACATTGCATTATTTCAGGGTGGAAACCTAATGAAAAATCATTCAATGATAGTTTTGCTGATGCATCAACATAGAGTCAGTGTTGATTCAGTGGTGCTGCTGTCTGGGGTGCTCACTAACTGAATGTAGGAGCCTGCTGTCCTTCCCAGTGTTGTGCATGAATGCGCTGGTGAATGATGAACTGAACGTATCTGTTTACAACTAATGAAATTGAACGTGAAGGTGGCAGTAGAGAACCAAAAAGCTGCCAAAAGAACACCAGAAGAAGAAGAAGAAGAAGAAGAAGGAAGTGTGCTTTGTTATTGTTTGTGTTGTTGTGAGGTGGTCCGGTTTGTGAAGTGGTCCAATGACTGGGGGCTGGGGATGTAAGCGTATGAGGAGGTTCTTCTGAAAAATAATGTTTTGCCTGGGGACTAAGCATAATCGCAAAATTTAATTTGTGTGTGTGTGTGTGTGTGTGTGTGTGTGTGTGTGTGTGTGTGTGGGTGGGGTGGTGGGGATGGTTGGGGTGGGTATTGTTTGGAAAAGTTGTGAGTGTTTGAGACTTGTTGTAGCTGAAAGTAAGTCCACCTTGTGCCCTTTGTGATTGATATTTCATTTCATTTCACTAATACATGGTGGTATATGCAAGGTAATGCAAACTGCGTCCTTCATTACTAAATGATTTCTGCTGTCATACTGGGAAATATTTTCTGATTTCTTTGATGATCTTCACCCATTTCAGACAGTCAGTGAAATGTTCATGCATGGCAGGTGTTAGATCCTCCCGTTACCTTCATTATAGTTTGCGTACTTTTCTCCTTAGGCTTTTGAAAATAAGGTGAATTGTTACAAACTTGGTTCAAATTTCAAAATTGTGAACTATGAATGTGAACTAGTTCATTATAACCTTTGTGAACTCAACTTTGAGCTAGCTCTTGTGAAGTGTGAACTTGCACAACACAGGCCCTGCCATCCCATCTATCTGACATATTGGCAACCAGCAGGCAGAAGAGAAATGTCCTGACCCCCACACGCAGTCAAGACGCTCATCCTAAACATTCGAGTACCTGCTGTAAATGTCAGAATTTAGAAGTTTGAACACCAACAGAGAAACAGCACATTCACATTCTGCAAAAAAACTTTAAACATAACAGTGAGCAGTTGTGTTGATATAAATGTCTTGTTGATGAGAGACAGCAGACTGGTTTTGAGCTGACAGAAAAAGGCTACAGTGACGCAGATAACCAGTCTTTACAACTGTGGCGAGCAGAAAACATCTCAGAATACACAACAGCAGAAGACCACGTCAGGTTCCACTTCCTGTCAGCCAAGGACAGAAAGCTGAGGCTGCAGTGGACACAGACGCCGGACGGTTGAAGACTTGAAAAACCTGGTCTGATGGATGTGGATGTCTGCTGAGGCAGCAGACGGTAGAGTCAGAGTTTGATATCTACCTCGCGTCGACAGTCCAGGCTGTTTGTTTCACATTTTTAGTTCATTAATGCCAATCAATCATGGTTTGAATGTCACTGCCTGAATATCGTTGCTGACAAATGAGTAAAAAAAAAAACAAGATCTAATTAATGACATGCTTTGTGATTAATTAGTGAAAATGAATCGCATGTCTCATCTATTTGTTGTGAGAGGCAAGTGAAATAATGCACCAAATAATACATTTAAAATAAACTTTGAAGTATGTGGCACTGCCGTTCCATCAGTACATCTGTCCTTGCATATTTCATGTGTTTCATGTTTAAAGTTTTCCGTCGAGGCACCAACCTTGCCATAGTTTTCCCAGCAAATGTTGGGCCACACAGAGAGCAGTGCACGCAGTACACACAGTACACACGGTACACACAATATCTTAGCCACATCAACTGTTCCACCCTCTCCTGTTGGAAACAGAGCTGACTCCTTGTCTGATTTGTCCTCATTAGAAACCGTCCTCATTAGAAATCGTCCTCAGTGGACTGTAGTGGAACAGGAGGGTCTGAATGATCTTTTCTTTGGGAAAGTGAATAGATGGTTTGTTTAATTGTCACCAAAGGGTCTGAGTCACGAATGCAAGTGAGGAGGAGGAGGAATCAGCGGCACCATGGCAGCTACAGGTTCAGTTTATGGTGATTACTTCATATAGAAATTTTATAAAGTGTGGATTTTTTTTTTTTTTTGTCACAGCATGAAGTGAAATATGACGGGCCTGAGGAGCACATCTGCATTATTATGTAATCCTGAGTTGAGATCTAGGTTTAAGGCTTTTATTATTTGAATTCTCTGGATATTCAGATTATTACATACTGTACATAATTAAAAAAGAATGGGAGAAACGAGCCCACAGCTCCTTGTAGACGATGAACAATGAAGAACGTCGAGTTTACTTACTAACTAATTACGAATGTGAAATGTAAATGTAAGCCTTGATAAACACAAGCCAACATGTAAACATTCAGAACTCACTCCTACATCATTCCTTTGGGTAAGTCTGAGATATTTTAATGTTGTGTGTTCAACAACAATTCACCTGCAGACAAAGAAGTACATGGGCGAGTGGAGGTTCTTGTTCTTTACTATGGCTGTGATGACCAGGATGTTCTCCAGCAGGGAGATGATACCCAGGATCAGAAAGACCTGAGAAGAGAAGAACACAATGCAACACTAGGTCTGTTTACATAGAAACACCTCAGTCAGAGGAAACAGGCCCAACCTGATTGAAATGTTAAAATTGCACCATGTAAATGATTTAACATGATTACTTTCTGGCTGCATCATTTCTGTGCATGTCCTCCGTCTTTGACGTTAATGCTCGGGGACGAACATTTCTCCACACATGACATATTCATTATTTTTGTGCAAGTCACACGGCATGTAATCACCAGACTGTGTTAAATCACTTCCCATGTAAACTGTTGACCTACAATCTTCAAAAACATGTGAATGTAACCACAGCTAATGAGAACAGACAAAAAAATAGCACAAAATGAAGTACAGTAGGTGGTTTCCAACCTCAGAGCTGAGATCTCCCAAGGGGTCACAAGATAAATATGAAAGATCACAAGATAATTAAGGGGGGAAGAAAAATGACTACTATGCAAAATAGAGTTAAGTTTTGCGCTCTTCATGAGAATAACTGGAGTGTTTTACCTCATCTGGACTTTTAAAACTATTAAAATGAGTCTGACAGGGGAATGTCGCAAGCAGTCATGGCTTGTCTATAAGCTAACAAAACAAAACAAACAAAAAACGTAAAAAAAGTAAAAATACAAAAAAACAATAAGTAAACAAACAAAAATATAGCTGCGAGTGGTGACTCTGGGTTCAAACCCTTTTGTGCTGAATAATAGGAAGCAGCTCAATTGGCCATGAGCAGCAGTGAGCAGGTTTAAGGCTTGACAAAGGTGAGCAAAGTGACATCAGCTACTTTAACTCTGTATTAATAAAGGCGTGAGACCAATCACACACAAAGCCTGCTGCTTTTCAATAACTATAAAGTGATGAACCCGGCTGGGACTTGTTGTTCAATGCCCAGTTAAAAGCATTGAACAACAAGTGCGTCCCAGACAGGTTCATCACTTTTTTCTTTTTAAGTTATTTTTTAATTCTCATAGAGAGCGAGAGAGAGAGAGAGAGAGAAAAGGAGAGAATGAAATGGAGCAAAGGGTCACGGGTTGGACTCGAACCTGGGTCGCTGCGGTTAGGACTACGCCTTCATGGTACCCCCCACCCCAATGTTTGTGTCTGCTGGAAATACTTCCATTTATGTTACAGGACTGAATTTGCTGCGTGTTTGCTTATTTGCATGCCTTGTGGTTTTTGGAGCACATGTGTTGTCAAATGGATGGAGATGTTTTCTGGATTTGCAGCATGTTTGTGTATCTGCATGTGTTTTCTTAAGTTGCAGTTCATTGCGCTCTCTGGGCCACCGTAGCCATGACCTAAAGTGTGTAGCGAGACGATGTGCAATGAATGTAATCTCCAGTCCACCATGGAGTTAAGGAAACTGCTGTGAAATGTAAGTGCTTGTAAAGACTGTACACTCAACATGTTTTGGTTAATCGTTCTCTGTGTTTTGCTTCTGTGTGTAGCCAGAACCCACTATTGTATTTCATTTTATTTTTTTCTGTAATATTTCCTCTGTCGTATTTGTTGCCATATTTTTCTGGACTGTAGACTGTTTTTTTTGCCAAATACTCAGACTGAGTCAGGCCGAGGGGATTATGGCAGTAGGTTAAATCCACTCTTAAAAATATTCCTTGTGTCCTGAAGGACAAAGTAAAATGCTGCAAGAACCCCAGTAATTGTGTCCTGTGTGACAACTATTGTCCCAGGCTACATAATGATAAGACTAAACATTTGCATTTGGTGTTCCGTACTACTTACACACAAATACACACCTCTATGGCGATGTGGACCTGCTCGCATGCTGCTGGTTTGGAGGTGCTGCTCTTGTCTGGTAGCAGTGGAGGGGGCAGGGTGTAGTTTTGGTGATAGTAAGAGTAAGCCCAGGTGGAGTTACCCAGGAGCACCTCCTCATGGTAGGAGGACTCATCAGATGCATTCATCCCTGCTGTGGCTCGGGTCCAGATCACTGCTGCTTTAGAGTTGATGGCATTTTCCACGCAGGCTGGAAATGAAAAGGGATGAGATATAGGGTTATATTTTACATTATGTAGAATATGTAATGTGAGTTTTGATGTAGCTTAGATATGTTTTTATGCCTATACGTTGATGTCCATCCACATCAACTTCAATCAAGCTCAATACAGTACAAATTTCAACCAAACTCTTGAAGGGAATATCTGGCTCTTCATGTGCTAAATTTTCCCTGATGTTCACCAGCTCGAGGCAAGCTGTCACTATAAATTTCCATAAAGCTGAGGGGAAGTGCAGAATCAGCTGATAACATCTCTAAGGGCAAAGTCTAGCTTAAAGGAATAGATCTCAATAGTTGATTTTGGGCAATGCACTATTTGTTTTATTTTATTACTTGCTTCCTGACTATTAGCTAAAAAGATTAATGCCACTCTCATGTCATTGTGGTAAGTATCAACCTACAACCAGCAGCCAGTAAGCTTAAAGGAGCTATTTGTAAGTTTTGCTATGGCTACATTGCCAGCATTAGCATTAACATCTGTAGCTGTAAGCCACTTTAGCCATTGTTGCATTTACATTGCAAGAGATTATAATACGCCCTCCGAAACAGCACTACTTCTTCAGGGCAGCCTGGACGCTACAGTGATTGGGTATCGGAACCTGACAAGACAGCCCCACCTGGCTGGGGCTAGCTGGTTAGCATGCTAACTTCAGTACAAGAAAATAATTGATAGGAATAGAAGCAAAACAATAGGGTTGCTTTTAGAGACAGCTCTAAGTGAGTAAAGGATTGAGGTTTAATACTGAATATGCAACGTTTCTTCTAGACCGTTAAGAAAACAGCCGTTAATGCTAACGTTCATGTAACTTATCACATTTGTTTAATCCATACCTGGTTGTGGTTTCGCAGTGTGTTATATGTTGGACTATTTCTTTGTTGGGCACAGTGATTTTAGAGTCTCTGCTGGTTGCCTGGTAACCGCATGATGATGATAAGACAGATTTAGCTGGGTCCCAGTTTCCAGTCTTTGTGCTAAGCTAAGCTAAGCTAAGCTAACCAGCTGCTGGTTGTAGCCTCATATTTACTGTTCTTTTCATCTAACTTAGAAACTCCTTTCATAGAAATTATAAAAAATAAATCTAGTCAGACACTGGATGAGGTTGGATGAGTTTTGTAACCAGTGTTTTCATTATGACTGGAAAGATCAGTAAGTTCTGGGGAAATTACATCATAAAATGATGTAAAACCATTTTCAAACCATGAAGTGGTATTTAGATACATTTAGTCTCAGCTGACCAAACATAATGTCATTCAAGTTTGTTTTGAACATTCCGCTTCGGTTATGAAAGAAAAGAGATAAGAGGCCCTAACGTGTCACTCCTCACACAGAAAGCCTCAGTGTTCAGATCCTGCCCGCAGCTGATGAGATGTGATGAGATCAGACCTGAAAGAGTAGCTTTCACTCTGCCCTGCAGGCAAGTGCCTCCCCTGTTCCTTAACTCATGATCGCACTAACAGACGGACCCTCCAGTGATGTCAGATGACTCAATTTCAGTTGCTTATACATTTGCACAGAGGTAACATAAACTCTTTTACTCTATCTTAAAAATTCATGGCACATGAGACATTTCCAGGATTAAATGTGCTGCGGAAAGGGAAAACGTTTGGACGCTGAATAGAAAAGAGAGGGAAGCAAACACATTGATGACAAAAATAAAACCATTCAAGCAAAGTTGAAGTGATACACTTGATTTTGCATTATGCATGTTTGGACTGCAGCCTGTCTCATTTTGGCAGGATGCCATTATCTACATCTCATTACAAAGTGATACTATGGGCAGTGATACAGTAATTAACTAAAGGGTTAAATGAGAAAGCTGTTTGAGTAGTTAAAACATTTTACTGCTGTTATGAAAGCACTTTGAACATAGTAATTGCAGGAAACATGAAAGATATTGATGTATTGGTGCAATTGGAATTATATTTTTCCAGTACTGACAGAGCAGTTATTTTAAGCTGCACAGTTATAAAATCAGGATTTGACCATATGCGGTCCAAACATAGACTAAGTTTTGACCTACTCTGTTTTTAATTATACTTGTCCATCTTTTCAGTCCATATTAAAGGTTTTTCTCACAAGTTTATTATTTGTTACCGTAGTAACAGTATCATGATATTCTCTCCCCATATTCAGAAACTGTTAATAAGATCTAAGATCCGTGACCTGTTATATTGGCAACTATGCCGATATTTAGTAGTAGTAGTAGTAGTGTGTGTGTGTGTGTGTGTGTGTGTCAGTGTGTGTGTGTGTTTATGTATATACACACACACACTGATGGACTCATATGCAGGGAAGATTTGATATTTCAAGCAACAAAGGTCAGAGCAGAGATCAAAATCATTTCACATTTTCATTCATGGAAATTCAAAACATAAATTGATTTTAGACACTGTGCTGTGGTTCAGACTGGATTACATGCCTTTACAGAGACATCAAGCACAAGTTCAAAAGATGCTTTTGAAAAAGTGAGACCAAATAGGTCACCATGGGTTCAAGGACAACCCAATTTGCTTTAAGGATTGAACATAAGGTTTGTTCAAACTGCACCTTCAGCAAGAAGAGTCAAGTCAGACTTCAGCTGCTGGGCCTTCTGGGCCTCATGAAATAAGATTTTAAACAGTCTGTCATCCCATAATTGAGTTTCTCAAACCTTTTGAGATGTTCTTAAAAACATCATAGGTAAGACAACTGTTCATCTTAAGACTGTGTGATGGATTAACTCGTACAGCATTAAAGGCACTGGAAGTGAAATTCTACATGTATGGAGTATAGAATGGGCCTGGGGAGTCACAGGGTGGCTCTAAGGTAAAGTGCCTAAAGTGGAGTCTGGAGCCAGAGCTTGTTTTTGAAAAGACCATCCCTAACATGTCTTGTTGGAAACTCCTGACCACTTTTGATCCTGATTCTGATCTCAGTCCCAAGGTACGAACTATGGCCTCTATCTCACTCATTTCCTACAATGATTGCCATCCTTATTCTGTCTTGTCTTGTTTTCATTTATTGGTTTTATTTATTTATTTTTGTCTTGTTTGTTCTTACTCTGTCTGTGCCTTGGATACATTGAAAAGCGCTATAAAAATCTAAGTTATTATTATTATTAATATTATTAGTATTGTTATTACTTGTTTTGATGGGAAGATAAAGCACTGGAAATAATTTTAACAATGTACTCTTTAATAGAATTAATACTGTTGAATAATTTCTTGTTAAAGTCCATTAAAAAGAGAACACTTGACACTACAGGTGGTGTAAATGAAGGGTTACTTACATTTATATCTAATGGAGCTGTGGGGCTGCGTAAGACTAAAAAGGGTGGGAGCTGCTGCTCTGTATAGTAGTTTATATACTATGGATAGTGGGAAGAGCATTAGAGAGAGCATTTGTGTGGATCTGTTATGGTAAGTGCAGTTCAGGTTCAGATGCAAAAAAGAAAGAAAAAAAAAGAAAAAAAACAACTACAACACGGCAGCTCTGCCTGCAGGGCCTTTAATGTCTTTTTGCCTTTTTTGCATCTTTGCCTTGGGTGCCCATAGTCTTATAATCCACCCACACTAATACCACAAATGCAACATATAGGAACAGTAGCATAAGTACTGTAGGGACTACAGCTGAAAGACAGATAGATGAGGGTTGTCTGAGGTTACTTTGTTCATAAATGGACTGCTTTGATTTTTATCAGTGACATTTTGAAAACATATTACTTTCATATGACTTAACAGAGAATGCTAGCAGAATGTCAAAGCATTTTCTTTTCTCTAAAAGTGGCTTTCAATTCAAACATCTAAGGTCATATTTCCTGAATGCTTTGTCTCAAATGTTTCATCACTCTGCATAAGAAAGGGCTTTTAGTTTTAAAGGAAACCTCGACCTACTTCAAAATCTATCAAAAGGCATTTTTGTATTAGTAGGAGATTATGTGACTAATGAAACAAAAGCGTTCATCTGCTTAAATGGTTTAGGGTTATGGTTTACTTATCTACACATTTGATCCATATGCCAGTTGTAGCCACCTGTGCTGCTCTGATCTGACTTGTGTTACAGTTTGAAGATGTCATGTCAGAGATGGGGAGCATGTGTGTTTGCTGTGATGTGAAAATGTAAGCCAATGAACTGCATAAATTATTCTGTCATAACTGCAAGAATAACTAACTGCCATAACCCCCCCTCCTTTCCCCGCCCCTCCCATTCACACTTTTCTAGTGTTAAAATTAAACTATAATTTCTGTGACTGTGTGACTGATTGTGTGCTGGAGGTAACACACTGCGCCTGTCAGAACCACCTCTCCCCTGTGAATTTTACCTGCTCTGCGAGCCACTTTCAGAGGGTCTGTTGTTGACTGGGATCTTATACCCCTGTCGCAGAACACGGTTTTTAGTTCCTTTGTTGTGAGACCCAATAAAGACCAAGCAAAACTTATTTGGATGTAAAATACAGTATAAACACTCTCAACCCACACATGCAGAGGGGAACAGCTCAAACAGAATAAATGAATGATTATTAAAATTTGGAGCATATATTTAAGGTTTGAAGTTTATTTCAATATTCATGTGGGAAATAAAATCAGAATAAAAACTAAAAGTACCCCATCACGGCTGTATGCCCCCACCAAGCAGTCAAGTTGCAGAAATATGGTCATGATCTCTTTGTTTTGACATTTGACTGTTTGGATATAAAATGGAATCACTTCATCGTTTTATCTTATTAGATATTTGTGTTCAATTTTCTCATAATTACTGAATTAATTCTTGAGTTACGTGTTTTGTCACAGTGACCTTGACCTTTGAACACCAATATATAACCAGTTCATCCTTGAGTCCAAGCAGAGACCAGCGGCAGGTCTGAGTGTGTTCACTCCAATGGGAGACGTGAACACAAGCACAGATTATGATTCTTTCACCTCACTGAAATAAATATTGGATACATTTTT